CTTACATCAATACATAACATTTGGCACATAACTATTATAATATTGTAATATAGTTTGGAGGCCAGAGGTCAATCATGTATATGAAAGAAAGAAAATGCACATCAATAATGTCCAAAATTTCTAGTTATCCAACTCACACATCTTGAATGTTTTTTTCAAACAAATACTGTCATAATCTGATCATTCTTTATCTTTCTCCAGTACTTGAAGATTTAACCAAATATGAGGACTTCGACGCTGTGGGAGGCTACATGTAACCGTTACTACTGTACAAAATGTTGATCCACAATTTGACAGAAATAAATAAGTGGTTGGAATCTTGGGATGCTGTATGGATCATGTGTATCTAACTCTTAAAGACTGTTTGATATATCAAAGAAACATGAGGCAGAGACATTCAGGAATGCATTCACACTGTTCATTGGCCACCCATCACACTCCACATTACAAGCGGCAAATGCTGTGAGACATTTTTGTGAATGTAAATGTGCTATACATGTACTAGACAGTGTATCCTAACTTCACACGCATTTGTAGTTTTGCTTTCTTCGGAAGTTGGTGATGAAGTGAAGTAAGCAGAAATAACAATTAAATTTTATGATATTTTAGCTTTCCTTTGATGATAAAATAGCAATTCTGTGTACATATACATGTACATCTTGTTTCACGTGAGGAGGGTTGTATTGAACACAATCCGGACATGTTGCCACCGAAAATTTGGCTAACGCAATGAGCGCTGTCCTCTGGAAATCATGGGACATGCAGACAACAGTTGTTTTGACAATGCTTTACTCAATTCGGTTTTCTACTTAACACTCATAGACCCAATTTTTTACTGTTTGTAAAGCCTTATGTTATTCTGTATGTGCCAGTTGTGTCACAATGTCATGATTGGCAAAGGTATTATTTTTCTGGGCACGAGCCATCGCTACAAAGAGATGACCCGTGATGAGTCGTTGAGTATGCACCATATAAATGGCAGATGAATAAATACAATGTATGTAGAACTATTGCAAATAACAGCTGTATGCATTAACTATGTTTATTACCTTTTAATTACCAAAGTCAGTGGCAACAAATACAGTATACTTTTGCATAATAAAATCAGTTAAAAATTTAGTGTGAAGCTAGGGTATCCTCCCTCCCTCCCAATTTTTAGAGCATTGTTATTTTTCCCTCTGTGTGTGTGTGTAATGTGTAGTTCACAAATAAGCGACCATGTCAGTTTACTTCTGAGTACACACAATTCATTCATTCAAGAGAGAATGATTTCACAAAAAATAGGGCTTCAGACACATTTATAATCTTTCAAGGCTGTACCATACCATGGTATTGAAGATTGACAATTCCTCGCTGGCTTCCTGCACTGTTTGTTGCAAGACAGGTGTAGTTCCCAGCATCTTCAACCCTTGCATTTATTACCGTAAGCCCACTTCCATCAGGAGAAATCTAAAAGAAAGGAAACATCACATATTAAGTACATGTATACACACACACACACACATATACACACAGACACACACACACACACACTGAGCAGCATTGCAAAAGAACAATTTAAACAAGAGGTGAGCGATGACTTCAAACCTTCATCATGTGTGAGTCTGGGATATCAGAAATGTGCTGCTGTGTACATGTTGAGTTTTATTTTGTTTTATTTTGTTATTTTGTTAACTTCAACATTTTTGTTTATCAAAGGCAATTGCTGGGAACAAACTAATTTTACCGTTACATTACGTTCGTGAATTTTACTTTAGTAACTGGAGAATGGTGAACCTGGGCAAAATGCCAGCTTTTTCAAAACCACTTTTTTTGGTCTGGTCAAAAGTGGGAACCAGTTTAATCTTAGTGTACATACATGTATTCCAAAGTCATACCTTACCTGATAGTGAGCACTTGGAAGAAGTAGTTGTCCATTATGCAGCCACATGATGCCTGGTTTGGGGTAACCCTTGGCCGTACATACAATTGTGACATTGTCCTTTGCAACGAAGGTGCTCACATCCTCAGTAATTGTTATCACAGGTGGCGCTACAAATATAAACAAAGTTATCTTTGAGCTCCAGCTAAATGTAGGATAAGAGGAGTATAAAACTGTTCAAGGCAGTCACATGATTCCTTATTGGGAAATGATGGGCATGTCATCATTGACTTGTGTAAGTTAGTAAAAGGTTAATATCACTAAGTATATATTGTGTTGATATAGGGGTTATTTGCATGATTGATGATAAAATATTGGAAAAAAAACTTGCTAAAGATGGGACTTTCACATAAAAAAACCTATAGTAAGTAATTTGAGTTTAAAAAAACATATAGAATAGAGTATGCAACATCTAAAAAAAATACAATGGCTCTAAATATTTTCATGTAGGCATGAGATCTCCGAATTCTTGTTATTAGTAATATTACATGTACTACAGGAATTCTGCACTTATATAAAACTATAACATATAGTACAGAATTGCATGGGATTCGTTCTAAAATGAAAAGAAATGACCCTTTTGTTGTTCCTATCAAGACCTAGGTCTGCAAATTTCTTCTTTTAACCTTTTCCCTAACTATTGTATAAGGTATTGGCATACATGTAAATGTTAATATACAGTACCTGTAGTAATTTTGTATACAGCCATTAAGATTGACTCAGCTTACTTTGTACAGCTAGATACACCATTCCTGACACATGGCCTCCTTCATTAGCTGCAATACACTCATATTCTCCTTCATCTGCTGTGCCCTGGACCTGGATAAATTAAGTAGTTTCATTGAAATGAAGGGCTGAATATTAAGATAGATTTGCCCAATGTCTTACTTAGTATTTCCAAATCTAAAACAAAATCATACTTGACAAGAGTTCCACGACCTCATATCTTCGCCAAATGATGTTAACCCTAGCGGTTGAAGAATTATACAATTTTAATAATTGATTTTGCAAATAAGAGCCTCATTTTCATGGGTTATATCAGTTGATCATATTCTCTACCCAATGACGGTCTTATCTTAACAAAAAGGCTATAATAGCACTTTCTCATGAATTATGTAAATGAGGTCATGATTTGAATAAATTATGTTTATTGATGTTTGCCTTCACTTAACTTCCAAATGTGGCAAGTATGAAATTCCCAGCAGTTACAACTATGAAATTATAAACATTTCAAATTATGCAAATTAGCTACTGATTTGCATAATTGTCATTTGATTTTGTCAAGCATCACTTCAGCTACCTACATACCAAAAATCACGACAATCCGCCAACCGGTTCTTGAGTTATCGTACTTCGAAAATTTTTCAACAAATGCTCCTGCAGTTCCAGAACAAGCCGCTAGGGGACCCAAACTCACGTCACTTCTTCCCTACCTCAAGAGCTATCTACCAACCAAAATTCGTGACCCTAGCATGTCCAGATCGCGAGATATCAAAACCGGAAGTTCTGCTGCAGTACCAACAAAAGCCACCAGGGGGCCCAAAATCTAATCATTTCTAGGTCTCATCAAGACCTACTCACCTACCAAGTTTCATGACAATGCATACTAAGGTTCTTGAGTTATGCTGTTCACAAACAAACAGACAAACGCTACTGAAAACATAACCTTCTTGGCGAAGGTACATTGCGTAATTACACTAAAATTCTTATATACTGTACATGCCTATATTTTCACATTGTCAAGACTGCAAGATATGGAGAAACAGTGACATGTATGTATCAACTGATACAACCCTGAAAGTTATACAGTAGGAGAGCCTAGGGTAAGTCAAGTCAATAAAGTTCTGATCATAACAACTTAACCACTGAAGCCCTTCAAATAAAGGTAACAGTTACATGTACCTTCCGTGTTACAGGAGGATAAACATGTCATATATATATACATGTATATATATATATATATATATATATATATATATATATATATATATATATATATATATATTACTATATATATTATATATAGACTCAAGCAAGCCCTAATCCAACTAATGTACCATCTGAGATCATCTCCCACCTCAAAAATGTTTGCAACAGTACTGGTTAACCAAACCAGAGATATCACAGTCTCTGGCAATAAGTCACACTTTGACAGCAGTTGACACCAAAGATGCAACATGTTGTCAGATATGTACAGGTGTTGTTGTTTTTCAGTTGCAAAAAAATTTATCACAGTTTCTGTTGGGTGATTGGTCATGTTAACATATTAAGAATTTTGTCTGTTGCATATGACGACACAACATTTCAAAACTATAGAGCATATTCATGGGACCCTTCACTTCACGTCACGTCATCACCCTTGCCCCCCGTGCGCTGCCAAGTTGAGGTACATCCCGAAGTCGGCAATGTTTTGCCAACAAAGTCCATCGGTTTGTCTCTTTATGTGTATTTTGTTCTGGAAACGACACACAGATTAGTTCAAGGCTTACATCGTCTCAAGTCCTACAACGACATAGTTTCTGGATAAGAAGAAAAGTGTGGAGCGACGACCACTTCAATTTGAGTGCCGCGGCTGTACATGTATGGCTGGTTGAGGTGTCTGTTGGACAGATAGCCGGTGTCTTGCTTCAAAATAATCAATCACAGAACATTACACGTGCCTAATAAATCGTTTTCATGGTTGATCTGTTTGTTACCTTCGCCAAGAAGGTTATGTTTTCAGTAGCGTTTGTCCGTCTGTCTGTCTGTCTGTCTGTGAACAGCATAACTCAAGAAGCTTAGTATGCATTGTCATGAAACTTGGTAGGTGAGTAGGTCTTCATGAGAGCTAGAAATGATTAGATTTTGGGTCCCCTGGCGGCTTCTGTTGATACTGCAGCAGAACTTCCGGTTTTGATATCTCGCGATCTGTACATGCTAGGGTCACGAATTTTGGTTGGTAGATAGCTCTTGGAGTAGGGAAGAAGTGACATAAGTTTGGGCCCCCTAGCGGCTTGTTCTGGAAACTGCAGGAGCATTTGTTGAAAATTTTTCGAAGGATGATAACTAAGGAACCGGGTGACGGATTGTCATGATTTTTGGTATGTAGGTAGCTGAAGTGATGCTTGACATAATCAAATGATAATTATGCAAATCAGGAGCTAATTTGCATAATTAATGAGGAAATTCTAAAACTCTGCATTGTTCGATAATAGGACTATGAAACACTTGTTAAATGTAATTGAGAATGAAAAAAAATCTGAGGATATAGATTATGTAAATGAAGACCTAATTTGCATAATTAATGGAAAATCTTTATAATTTTATAGTTGTAACTGCTGGGAATTTCATACTTGCCACATTTGGAAGTTAAGTGAAGGCAAACATCAATAAACATAATTTATTCAAATCATGACCTCATTTGCATAATTATGAGAAGTGCTATAATAGCCTTTTTGTTAAGATAAGACTGTCATTGGGTGGTAGAATATGATCAACTGATATAACCCATGCAAATGAGGATCTTATTTGTAAAATCAATTATTAAAATTGTATAATTCTTCAACCGCAAGGGTTAACATCATTTGGCGAGGTATGAGATCGTGGAACTCTTGTTTGATTTGTTTTTGTTGACGGTCTCTCTAGCTCAATGTACAAGACGCAATTACTAAATCATAAAGTTATCTGTGTGCGCTTAACCGGTTCCAGGCCAATATCCTTCAACGGAGCAAAAACACAATGACTATGAAGCAAAAAGTTTTAAAGGAAAATAGTGGGTTGATTATAAAATATTTGTCAATTCTACAGAGAGCTGCATCGGGCTGATGCACGCCCTAGATGGCATATGACCTTAATGGGGGGTGCGCGAAGTCCGGACGTGCCATAAGTCGGATTTTTTACTGATGCAAAGTATGCCGTGTTTGTTGCCAATGACTTTGCTAATCAAAAAGGCAAACAGTCATAGTCAATGCATACAGGTGTTATTTTCATGCAAAGTATAGTTCTATATAGTTATTTATTATTTTGTTGAAAAACATTCATGAATTTCACCAATATGGCGCTGAGAAGAGCGTCACTTGGTAGCAGTGCTCGTGCCCAGAAAACTACTACCTTTGCCAAGCCGTCACACAACATAAATCTTTACAAAACAGTAGAAATTTCAGTCACCGACCCAAGAAAAACAACATCAACACCACTGTCTGCATTTCCCATGATTCCCATGAGGTCGTGTTGATTGTGTAAGCCAGGTTTTCAGTCGAAACACTGATTAAGTTTGATACAACCCTCCTGGTGTGAGACCAGAAGTACTACAAAAACGTGCGAAGTTAGGACACAATGTCTAGCGTCGGCCATTCATGAAGGTACATTCACGAAGTGTTTACTGCTTGTAACCTGGAGGGTGAAGGGCTCATGAACAATATAGGTGCACTTCTTATTCAAGTATTTTCTCTTAGACAAACATTTTAAAAATTCATTCATCAAAACTCTGACAACTAGCGATAGAGGGCCGTGAGTTCAAGTGTGTGAAAAGAATTTAGGGCCACCCCCCCGTAATATACGTGAATGCAGCCTTACATGATACGTTCTGTATATGCAAATTACATGTAGGTTCCATGTTTCACACATGCATGTCATTTAACATGTTCCTGTTTCTTCCAATACACACCTGAATCTTCAATGACCCATTGGCCAGCTGTTCCATATGAGGCAATAGTAAGAACTGCAGCTGCTTTCCATCCCTGAAAAAAAATGTTATCAACAAAAATTATCACATTTGTTCAACTTTGTCATGTTATTATCTTGAAACACGCATACCTGTATATTAGAAAGTCAGATGATTGAGGATGGTAATAGTTGTATATTTGTTAGAAATCATTTTACTAAAAATGCAATTAATGTAACTAGGTGACTTTTAGTGTACGTGTATATTTTGATAATTAACAGCAATTGCTGACTTGAAATACATGAAACATCCATGATCCTACCTGCCTACGTGCTCAGGCCAGGATTAATTAACTAATTATTGCCATGTCCTAAAAGGCTATCATTTGACAATTTTTTATCTATGGTGATAAATCATCATTATGATAATCATGGTGATAATTACATGTAGGGCACCTGTATTTGGCAAATATACATGGGCACAAGATTGACATGGTCGATGTCAAGCCTCATCTCAAAGTACAGCGATCATCAACAAACAAAAGATATATTGCACATAATAGTAGATGTATAGTGCAACTATGCTATGACTAACAAATTGTTAAGTTGCGGTTTGTTTACAATCTATTGCCATAACAAGTCAAAATTTGGAAAATATGGCAATAACTAGAGTTCCACGACATCATAACTTCGCCAAATGATGTTAATCCTTATGACTGACAAATTATAGATTAATCCCCAATTATGCAAAATAGGATCCTCATTCCCATGAATTATATCAGTTGATCATACATGTATTCTCCACGAAAAGACAGTCGTACCTTAACAAAGAATGCCATTCTAGCATTTCCTCCTAAATTATGCAAATGAGGTCCTTATTAGAATACTTTGTAAATTATAATCAATGATGTTCACCTTCATTTAACTTAATTCCAGGCAGTAACCATTGCTGAATTACATCTTCTCAATAATTATGTAAATTAGGTCCTAATTAACATAATCAATATCTGCCTGTGTTTCTCTCATCTCGTTACATATGCCACAAGCTTGAATAGTCCTATCATGTAATGCAACTGATTTTCTCATAAATTATGCAAATTACATCCATATTTGCATAATGGTCACATGATTATGTCAAGCATCACTTAAGCTACCTACAGTACATACCAAAAATCATGAGATTGTCAACTGGTTCTTGATTTATCCTTGTTTGAATTATTATTATTTATTAAACAAACGCCCCTGAAGTTCTGGAGCAAGCCGCTAAGGGGGCCCAAAATCTACTCATTCTTAGGTCTTATCAAGACCTACCCACCTACCAAATGTAAAGTCAATCCATCTTAGCCTTCTCAAGTTATCGTGTTTACAGAAACACACACACACACACACAGACATACACGAACGCCTCTGAAAACATACCCTTCTTGGTGAAGGTAATTAGGACCAGAGATGTTAAATAGTCACATACCTTTTCCATGTCAAATTAAAAGGAGTCTCACTAGTTACAATGCATGAGAGTACAGTATTTCCTCCTGGTGGTGCACTGCCTCCAATGGCTCTTACAATGATTGGTGGTGGTTCTGAGGAACAGAGGTTTAGAGTTAGACTCAAAACATACATGTGTACATGTACATAATTTTCTCTCAACAACCAGTAATGTTAGTTTTTACCTTTATTCATTGTTAAGTTACATGTAAACGTTACCAATCAGACAAAATTGGCGCATCATTTATGTCCGTATTATGGATTGTTTTCACTTATTCTATTCATTTATATTTTCATTTTGATCCTGTGGATACATCACTCAGTCCAATACTGTAACTCCTCAGCTGTAAGGGCAGTCAGACAGTCTTGCTGATACTAACTGTGGCAGATATTTCAACTTGAAAACAACCAGCTGTGTTGCGTGGACAAGCATTTTCGGGGGGGGGGGTAACTTGGGAAGCCTTGTAATTATAAAGCTGAGTATATCTACAGAAGCTGTCCCTTTCTTGGCTTGGAGAAAGTTCTCTGGATACAACTATAAACTTATTTTGTAGTAAAACTTTCTTAGGGGTAGTAGTGACAGATGAAGCATCACAACTTCAAGACTAACAAGGCTTAAGGTCTCTGGGAAGACAAGAGCATCATGCTCAGCTGCAAGCTCAGATGTGCTCCCTCGCCACAGCCATATTCTCAAATGCTTGTGAATCCTGGACTCTAACAGCAAACTTGAGACATAATACAGACCAAGGAGATGAGATGCCATCTGGAAGATTCCTGGGATCACATACAGAGACCACATCTTGAATGATGAAGAGTCAAATAAAGCATAGGTCTATACAAAAACCTAACCACAGTAAAGTCAAGGGTCAACTGTCCTCACTGTTTAGTACAGTAACCCAAAACACTTGAGTGGCTCTTAATTATGAGCCTTGTTTTGTGGTGAAATTAAATTATAAAAAAAAAAAAAAGAAACAGAAGGTGAAGTAGTATGGTCACGTGTCGTGGTCATGGGGACTGGTGAAAACTAGCTTTTAAACTCGAAAGGCCAACATTTGCTCGGGAGGAAATGCAGCAAATGGCTTCACCACATGGCAAAAAATGGACCTGTCCCCCTCCCACACACACAGCCTAATAAAATAATTCCTCCCCTCTTGAAGAATGAATTCTTGACAACTGGTCAAGTTAAAAACACTTCCACACACACAAAATCGAGTCCGAAGTTGAATTCGAAAGAAATAGCAACTCCCCTATTTAATAATATACAAAAACATTTCCACACCAAATACAGTATTTATATGATCATCCCTGTTCAAAATTGAATTTAAATCTAGTTGGAATAATTATATTATGTACATGTAGTTACATGTGTGCCCATGTACATTTATGATTGTAGCTACGTAAAAACTAGCCTGGGTTCCAAACCCATAGCACACTGGACACAAAGTATCAGAGTGAGATACGTTGTGTCCAGTGTGCTATGGGTTTGGAACCAAGATCTAGGGTGTCTCATGAATGGGGCCCATGTGGGAATTGGCCTTGTTGGGGGGAATTGTGGTGGGGGCTGTTATTTTGGTGGCGAAGTATTCTGTTCCCTAGGGGGACAGGTGCATCCCTATTGAATCTGCAAGGTTTGTCCTGGCACTGATGGGGCTGAAACTCTCACATGTTGCAGTAGCAGATAACCGATGTACAGGGACTGGGGAGCTGGTCATTAGCAAGGTGTTTGCCCTGGCGAGGTGCTCAAAGTTGTCTGTGTGCAGTGGATGTAGAGGTCACGGGTCAATTCCTCCAAAGTAATTATCCACAATTGTTCCAACTGACCAATCCTACCACGATATCATTAATTTCCATCCAAGAGGTACACATTGTCAAGTAAATGTAGCATGAAAGTGTGCAGTGGATGTATTACAGATACAAGTAAATGTATTGCAGATACATTCATCACGGCACGAAAAGTGATATTTAAGCACGCTTAAACAAAGCGTAAAGGCCGCGTTTCTTCCCACTTTCCACACCTTTACGACCCCTTAACGCGAGCGTAAAGATTGCCTTAACGTGGACTTTCCGGAAGTTTGGAAAGGGCATTTATTTTCCCACTTTCACGGCGCCTTTCCGCGACTTGCAAAGGCTTAAAGGCGTAGTTAAGCACTCTCTGTGTCCTTTACCGTGAACTCTTCACGGAAAGCATGCGTTTATTCTGACCTTTCCATACTCTTTTGGATGCCTTTATAATTTCTTTACGTCATGCATTTTAGGACGGAACGTGCACGGAAAGCATGCGTTTATTGTGGCCTTTCCGTAGCCTATTGGAGATCTGTAATATTTCGGTCTAGTGGTAGTTTGGTATCTTAGCGTCTATATATCTTAGTATAGAGAGAGATCCAAACAGTTCGATTACTTCTGCTGAGCCGGGTTTATTGATCCGTATGTTAACTCTAATACAGGTAGATGTGGTCTAATGGTTACAAGGGAGTTTAGCACTAGTTACCAATGGTCTAGAGTTGTACAGATGAGGTGCTACAGTTATACAATCTACTTATCTACAGAGCTAAAACTAAACATGTACACATACCTCGGGTCCAGGTCTCGAACTGACTTACACAGCGATTGTCTTTCCCAAGCTCAACTCTGTTCACAATAGTCCCTAACCTGATTGGTTGCTCTCACCAACCAATCAGTGCCTACCTAACGCGCAAACATATGCATAGCTCTCTAATACAAGTCTTTCCACATGGTCATTTACATATTACTCTAATTACAATATTCATAACCGTTACAGATCTTTTAAACTTCTTTCCGTCATGGTTTTCGGGTTTTGCAGTACGCTTAAAGGTGTCGTAAAGTACCCTTAACGTGTGTGTAGTATTGACGTTTATTTTGCTTTATCTGTGCGTTTATTTGCCATTAATGAACAGTAAATTTCTGTGCCAGGGCTAGCCTTTCCTGCCGTGGTAGATTGGCTGGATCGGGCCGTCGGTAGCCTGGATGCCAAAGTCAAAGCACCCTAGACCCAAAGTTATTTTTTGTGTGCACACCTAGTATGCCATGGGTCTTGCATCCAGGCTAGGCCGTCAGGGGAGTTGCTGCCCGAGCGGCAAACTTCCTTCGGGGTGCTTAACTCCCCCGTAGCGCTCACGTAGATCGGCGGGCATACTGCCATGTTCCGCCGACGGGAACTGGCTGGAGGCCCCATCCAGACTGGCTACTACTACTAGGTCAGGCTTTTCTTTGTTGTATCCGAGTGCACTATTCCAATTCCAGTGTCCATTTGCCCACTATTCCATGTGATATCGATGTGGTCACTGCAAGAGGAATAATCCGATGACTTGTTCCCGTGCTGGTCAGGTCGCGCTCTTGCTCAACTTCTAAATCTGTGCTTCTCCCGGTTAGGACGATACAATACGGCCGTGGTCTTCCCCTTCTGCGACATGACATGTTCAATATCTTCAATCTATGCCATTCCACAGACTTGTACAGAATGGTAGATTTGTCTTAGTTCCGTCGTGGCCACTTCTGGTGATAAAAGCAATGTCTCGGCCACAACTTGCGGGTTCAAACGAGTCCAAGTCTCCATTGAGTAGACGCACAGCAAAATGACTACTGGTATATTCAGTAGATTTGAAAAACCCACTCTTGTCTATCATTGGGTAAAGCCCTGTCACATGACCTCCTCCTGGCAAACAGGGCGGAGATTCCCCAAACGGTCTTGTCGTATGAATGGCGTACGGGCTTGTTCACGGGTTGGTAATGAATAAATTTACATTTGGAAAACAAAATGGAACCTCGTTGTCTGATCACAACAAATAGGCTAAAGACACTAGAAATACTAGTAATGCCTGTGCATTCATGATTTTTTAACCGTTGAACTCTTGCTATAAAGAATATTCGGCATTTATAAAGAAGAAAACTTTGGAGCGGCAAAAAATTAAAGTAGATTAACAAATTATACAAGGAAGGGGGAAAGTTGGCGGAAAGCTTTAATTTATAGAAGAATTAAAGAAACCGCATGTTTTCGGAAAGCGACGTATATAAACAAGCAGAAATAGTCTACAGTACAAACAGCTCCGTACGTATTGACACGGACCGTAGTAAACTTCGGGTAGGTTGTGGACTGAGAAATTATGGGTTCCTGGCTGATAACGAAGAATCGTTCAATCTAAAGGAAAACTAAAATAGTCCACAGTTACCCAGTATTATGGTGTATCTCGGTTTGAAAAAGGTTTTATCTGTCTCGAGTTAAACATAATCTATGACTTCTAAATGTTCAGGAACTCAGTACATACAGCGCCGTACATATAGACACGGACCGTAGTGAAGTTTGGGTAGGTGTGTCCAGGCTGATAACGAAAGAATCATTCAATCTAAAGGAAAACTAAAATAGTCCACAGTTACCCAGTATTATGGTCTTTCTCGGTTTGAAAAAGGTTTTATCTGTCTCGAGTTAAACATAATCTATGACTTCTAAATGTTCAGGAACTCAGTACATACAGCCTCCTGCATATAGACACGGACCGTAGTAAACTTCGGGTAGGTTGTTGACTGAGAAATTATGGGTTCCAGGCTGATAACGAAAGAATCGTTCAATCTAAAGGAAAACTAAAATAGTCCACAGTTACCCAGTATTATGGTCTTTCTCAGTTTGAAAAAGGTTTTATCTGTCTCGAGTTAAACATATTCTATGAGTTCTAAATGTACAGGAACTCAGTACATACAGCGCCGTACATATAGACACGGACCGTAGTAAACTTCGGGTAGGTTGTTGACTGAGAAATTATGGCTTCCAGGCTGATAACGAAAGAATTGTTTAATTTAAAGGACCTTAAGGAAAACTAAAATAGTCCACAGTTACCCAGTATTATGGTGTATCTCGGTTTGAAAAAGATAAAGGTTTTATCTGTCTCGAGTTAAACATATTCTATGAGTTCTAAATGTTCAGGAACTCAGTACATACAGCGCCGTACATATAGACACGGACCGTAGTAAACTTCGGGTAGGTTGTTGATTGAGAAATTGTGGGTTCCAGGCTACATATATGATAACGAAAGAATCGTTCAATCTAAAGGAAAACTAAAATAGTCCACAGTTACCCAGTATTATGGTGTATCTTGGTTTGAAAAAGGTTTTATCTGTCTCGAGTTAAACATAATCTATGACTTCTAAATGTTCAGGAACTACATACAGCGCCGTACATATAGACACGGACCGTAGTGAAGTTCGGGTAGGTGTGTCCAGGATGATAACGAAAGAATCGTTCAATCTAAAGGAAAACTAAAATAGTCCACAGTTACCCAGTATTATGGTCTTTCTCGGTTTGAAAAATGGTTTATCTGTCTCAAGTTAAACATAATCTATGACTTCTAAATGTTCAGGAACTCAGTACATACAAAACCATTTTTCTCTAGCCTTGGACTCTTCAAAGCTTCTAAAGAATTGATGCAACCTGAAAATTCTAGCCCCAAGGTAAAGTCCATTACATTATTGACATCCTAGTGTGATCCACACATACATGTAAGAACTGAAAGCAACAGAAGTACATGTGACTGTTCTGGACTTGGATATAACATAACCTTTTTCTCACCTCTCACATCCAAGAAAGTCCTGGCTTTGTCCACTCCAGCAATACTGAAAGCTTTGCATTCATACATGCCTTCAGCTGCAATGGACACATCAAGTATCTCCCATGTCACATTGGTAGACTCCCTAAAACACATTCAGTGACATTTTGATCATATAGGTACAACTTGTAACTTGAGAACAAGAATACTGAATGCTAAGTTGTATATTTTCAAATATCATTTTACAAATAAATGTTTAAGACCATATTTCAATTTACCGGTACACTTTGTACTATTGAGTATACATCTAGTACCTAATGCAAAACAATTGTAACATAGTTCTTATGGAACTACAATTCCTTTAGTCTTCTCATTATTTCAAACAAGCTGGTGACCACATCAGATGCATGCTTTAAAACTTATGATTGTGCCATGGATTAGTGTAAGACATTCAAGTTAATCATTTGATTTCCATTCCTTGCAACCTACCTGAAGTATAAATCTGAGCCAAGCCTTTTTCCATCTTTACTCCACTGAACAGTAAAAGGCACGACACTCTGCACATTGCACACCACAGTTGCTGTCTGCTCATAGTAGCCAGGTTGTCTTTCTGCCATACTGACCACTGGTTCAGCTGTAATAATGGATTTTTGGATGATGTTTCAAAAATGGGCTTACTCTTCAACTTTGCTTGTACATGTACACTGGTACATAGTCAATTTGGCATCACCGTGTGGGTTGTTATTATCATTAGTTAGAAATGTTTTGAATTCTTTGTAATTATTTGTTTAAGAACTTTCATAATTTGGAAATATTTTGAAGATCTTTTCAACATTCTAAATAATTCCCTGGTTTTGTAAAACGGTTGAAATATTCCTGATATGGAATATGACATTTCCAATAGTTTCTAAATATTTCTAACAGCTCTCTTACCATTTTTTACCATTATTTACAATTATTTCTAACATTTTGTAAATAGGTCAGTGGGATGGGAAAGAAGTAATTCACACAGGGTAGACTGCCTAGGCATTAGGCAAAATAGGCACCAGTGTCCAGCAGTGAAATCTAAAAATTTACAGAAGAAGACAGAAGAGTCGGACTAGCATCTACTTTTATGGGGGCAATTACCCACATCTACCATTTGGTTATCTGTTTGAAATATTTCTTAATATTTAAAATAGTGAAAGAAACACATTGATGGGTCATGTTTATTCTAAATAAAGAGATCTTTGTGCATCTACTTTCAAAATGTTTCAGAAACATCTAAATGAATTCAAATATTCAAATTTTCATTTTCAAATTTTTGAAAAATTTAGAACTTTTGTTACTGGGGTATTCTTTTCTTCTAAATAATTCAAAAGTATTACAAACATGGAGAAAAAAACCCACACAGTGACGCGGAATTGACTACATTACTGAAGGATGTACTGAAAAAGGCACTTCATAAGGAGAAAAAAAAACATCTTAGTTATGGGGTCATCCATTACATCAAACTTCAAAGTACAAAAGTTGTCAGGAGCTAGCTCCCCATCTACATGTACCATGGCTGGGGGGAGATGGGCATTATCAACAGTAGTGGAATCATTATCATTACCTACCTGGTATCTCTGCATTGAGGGCCGAGGGAGTGATTCGCTGGAAAATGAAATTATCCACATCAACTCCAGAGACACGGAGGTAAAAGAAGCCTTCTGGAGGTAGGATACCACTGACATTGTACAGAGAGCTGTAATGCTGCTCTGGATGGCGAAATACAGGCACCTCTATCAAGGACAGCCCTTGTAAGTTGATGAGTTCTAGTTTGTTGATAACTCCAGGAGGTATCAAGCCTGTTGCATTCACAACCACGTATGTCGGAATACCTGTAGTACAAAGAGACTAAAGGTAAGTACTGTATAACACATGTTGATGATCAACACATATTCAATTACGAAGTGAAATTCCCATATAATTTGTTATAAAAAGAGTTCAGAGATCTAGACCTCCTACATTTGTGAGTTATTTAGTGCCCACTTGTAGTTGAGCGAGTTACTTGCATTCCAGATGCTTTGGTCGACAGAATTCCACTGAGTTCCTCTGAGGGTTGCAGGAAGACGTGCCGGTAAAAGGTACTTAGACTGGCTACTTTTCACCTGTGTTCCAAATGATATATTCCAACCATTTGCGGATCCCTAATTTGGATCTGACATACAGCTTTCTTCTGAATGCTGTCATGTAGCTTAAATGCAGTTGCACCAGCTCCACTCCGTATTGGAGAAGCATATTCCATGAGGGGACAAATATATGCCTTATATACTTAACGTTACATACATGTATATAATGTTATTAGTTTTGATTCTTTGTTGTCAAGTTACTAAGTAGAATAGTTAATGATTGATTTTTATTTAAACATTCAACTGGGGCTACCTGAAATATTGATGGGCAACTTAGCTTTTGGCTAAGGTTGCCCAATGGGCCAACTGACAAAAGTAATTATTTCAAACGTTATGGTATGTAACGTTAACTGGACTTTTCCTTTCAGCACTAAAGGATTCAATATACATTTGTAAGTCTATCTGAAAATTTTCAGTTAGTAATTTGCTATATACAGGTAAAATTGCCAATTACTTACCCAAGATAGGTCTTGATGCTGCTGCTGTAATGTTCCTTGTTGGCTTTCTTGAGAAGCCATGAGTGAAGTCCAGTGAACTCAGACCTGTGACCCTTAGTGTGTGGAGCCCTGTGCTGCTGGCTTTTAACGTCCATGGGCCAGGCATGGGGGCCTTCACATTCACCACCAATACAGACTCAAGTTGTAACAGAGTAGTCAAACCATTGCCTTCAGACAAGACTAAACCTGGATCAATATTTGAAAAATGAAATCTGCATTAAACTTTCGAGACAAAAAGAAGCTACTTTCCTCTTCACATCATAGAACCCACACATTACAGAAAATGCAAGGTCCACTGTCTTCACAAAATTATCATCTCTATCTAGTGAGTGCTGAATTAAATGCCATTGCACATGTACATGTACAAAAGCATTTAATTCAGCACTCACTTAAGTTCCCCGACCTGATACCTTTGCCAAATAATGTTAACCTTTATGATTCTTTCATTGTCTAACTGATTATGCAAATAAGATCATTGTTTGCACGAATTATAAGAAAGCTATTCTGGCATTTCCACATTTTGCAAATGAGATCCTGATTGGAACAAGTTATGTTTGATGATGTTCATGTTCACTTGACCTCCAAATGCCACAAGTATGAAATTCCAGTACGTCTACAGTATATTTACCTGCAAAGAATTATAGAGTTCTCTCATTAATTATGCAAATTGTGTCAAAATTTACACAATTAATCAAATATCAAGATCTAAGCCTTCTCAAGTTATGCTGTTGACAGACACACACACAGACACACACAGACATACATACACACAGCTGCAAAAACATAACTTTCTTAGCAAAGGTAAAGTTGCACCAAACAATAAATGGTTACGTGGTGCTGTAACCCTCATTCAACTTTACAATTACATCAATAATAACATATGTTGTGTGGTATTCAGAATCTTTATCTACCTGTGGGGTCCTTTACAGTGATTGCTGGGTTCTGACCACTCACTGAAACTGTGATTTCACGTAACTGGTTGTCAACTGGGAGAACCAACTCGTGTATCCCACCCTGGTTATGGTCCTGAGCTACCAGGTTGACTTTGCGGGCTTGCAGGGATACACGCACAAAGTTTAACACCTGTGAGATATTGAAGAAAACTTTAAAGCAAGACAATTTTACATGTAACAGCAGTGAACCTTAATCCGACACTTTTATGCACAGGTAAGATTGAATGATAAATCCACAACCAGACATTCAGTATTTTCATTAATCATTTAGTGCATCTGACAGGGTATTTTAAACTTCATACCTACGTGTGTGTCACTCTCCCAACCATTGAGATATCGCGGGAAAACTGCATCTTCAACATCGCTCCCAATTTCACTGTATTCTGTTCTAAGCGAAACCTTCATCCAACACCATGCAACAATGTAGCTGTTTGCCTGTAATTTTCACAATGTAAATTCACAACAACACTTTTTCTCAATCCCTTTGTTAAAGAACAGACACTTATACTAGTTATAATCGTCATCAAATGTCACAGTCGGTAGGCCAGTGCACCACTGGCAGCGCTACATCAGATCAGGTGGCTTGGGACTGAATTTTCAAAGAGGGGACCACGTTCGGATCAGTTACGGCAGGGCATTTTAGTTCCAAGAAAGGAATAATTGAAGAATTTTACGATAATTATTGTTACCAGACAGAAACCTTTCTTCTGCACTATTCCGATGTATTCGTCACTAATTTTGGTGATACACTATGTTGTGATCATTTGCCACATCCATGTATGGAGTAGTGGTATTGTCTTCAACAACAGCAACAACGTATTCAAAATGGCGGTTTTGTTCGATCAGCCGCTGAATGGCCATAACGAACTCGCTCTGTGCTTAAAAAGAAGGACACTTCTAGGCAAGTGGTTTGTCAGCAACAGACACTTTACCAATTGATTTTTTTATTCACTGTGATGTTGAATGTGTAGCATGAGGATGTAAAGGAGAAATTGACAACGTTTTGACCACTGTCCTTCCGGAAGCTTCCTCCCACGACATGCCTACCAGTATAAAAACAAGCTGAAAATTTCATGACCTCGTCTCCACAACATGTTGACTTCGTGAGCTCACTGTTTCAAGTTTGTATGCTGTATACCTTATTGAGTTTGTAAAGCAATTAAAAGATTTTGCATATCAGTGCTAGATCCTAACAGACAGAGGAGTGTTGAAAAGTGTCGGATTAAGGTTGCGTCGGATTAAGGTTAACTGCCGTTATATGTCACACATAATACAAATGTATAACACTAAATAGATGGGCAATGCCCCATACAAACAAAATATGAATCAAAATATACCTCATACCTTCAACTCAAAGTATGTCCTAATTTGTATATTATTATTTATTAAATTAGGACTTAATAGATGTTAATCTAAGTAATATTTCTGTTATCCAAAGTTAAAATATTTTATCTAACATCGGTTCTGTGCAATTAATGGATGGTTGCTATTGTGCATTTGTTGTTGAAAGTGTGTAATAAAACACAAGTATGAAACTGAATCCTAATCCATTAAAAGTCATGAGTCTCTTATATTCACATGTACATAAGTGTGTCCTTAAGTGAGTTTTATTACACACTTTCACAGTGTTATGTCTTCCCTAGGGACAACAGTTTTAGTGCAATGTGTCCAATCTGTGATAAATTACTAATACTTGATAGTCAGAGTAATCAGTTGTAATGTAACAGTTACATTTCAACAGTTCAAATTTGATTCTATTTCGCTCCTTTACAATTATTTTCCCTCCTTCGTTTCGTTCCTTTTCACATTTTTGTACACCACCTTCCCTTGGTCCTCTGATGGGTCATCTTACTCAAGACTGAAATTACAAATGTAACATGAGAAAGAAAAATTACCTGGTTGACATCTTTTTTCTCCAGATGGAACACCTGTCCAGAACTTGTGGCAGCGATATCTTCAAAGGCACGGTAGCCAGGATGGGTCCGGTTCCCACAGTCTCCAGTCAGAACAAACACCACCTACATGTACAGTACAGTACAGTATATGTAACATTACAGCTAATCATAAAAGCTCATCTATGTTGGTCAATAGCTGAACTTGTTCCAACACACATAATACAGGCACTGAACTGGCACTTTTGATGGCGTAATCTCAGGTCCTGAACTGGTAACTTCTTGTTACATCATTTTTTGGCCTGAACATCCATCTGGTACTTTCTCATTTTGGAGTTAACAGCATTGGAAATACATGGTGTGCAAGTTGTTCTGAAAGCTTGGTTGCCTGGATGCATTTAGTTTTTTTGGACATTGAAGACCTCACGCCCAAAGTAACATCTGTCTGTGTGTGTGTGTGTGTGTGTGTGTGTGTGTGTGTGTGTGTTGTGTCATGTACATGTATACACCTCAGTAACCAGTAAGAAATGGTTGTCAATGTGGTAATTGGTTCAATTTCCGAGGGTACGTTTGTTCCAGGGGGTATATTGGGTATTGAAGGTTTGTCCGGGGATACATGTGTACTTTTATTCCAGGTATGTTTATACGGGACCCGAGAGTAGTTTGATTCAGGGTTATTTTCTTTACCGACCATGGCCAGATTATCTGAAGACTTGTGTACAATCAACAGAAATGTACTCTAAAATTTACAAAAATAAAATCGACATACAATTAGCAGTATGTACATCTTACCCTTTGATGTACTAATATACAACTTTAAAAAAAAAAAAGTGACCAATGTTACTTACTAAGTTGTAGCTCCAGATGACAACATTGGGTTTGCCACAAGATCAAACCTTTTACATAGCAAAATTGCAACACATTCATCCAAGCTGCTACAAACTCAGGTGTCACGTTTCCTATGCTAGTATGCAAATGAAGGAGGCCCAGCTACTAGCACTAATGGTCTTTGGGAACATTCTCAATGAACATTCAGACTTTTGCTACATGTAGGGCTAAATTTTCATGTTTGTGAGAAGATTTTGGAATTTTTCTGAGAGTAACAATACTAGCATAGTTTGTAAAGCTAGAATACATTGTTATGCGGTCTGGTGTTTATATTTTTTATGAAAAACGATCATTTTGAGAAAGACTTAAATGTTGTATATACATGTAAGAAGTAGCAACTAAGGCTTCAATCTAAAATTTGACATGAGGGCGCTGGCTTGTTACATGAGGGCACGGGGCCCTTATTCCCCTGTTCAGAAAAACCCCTGATCTGGTTTTCGTGTTTCGATTTTTAAACTCAGTTTTTGAATGTTGTTCCGGTTCAGACCCGTCCAGCAGCTGAACTGTTATCCCTACTTAGTTATCTTAGTTATTACGACTAATAATCATCCATTTTCTGCTACTAGAAGTACAATGTAATTAATAAAGCATTCTTACCTGGCTCTGCTTTTCTTGAATAAGTCTAAGTGCTTCTGGCTTCAAGTAGTAATCTTTTGATCGTGCATCAGTGAAGACGTAGATGAAGGATGAGGGCAAGCTGATCTCTAGAGCTTTCTTGAGAATAAAAATAAGTAAGTCAGTATAAAATGAACCAAATATGTTAAACACAACCTGAAAGTTCAGAGGTCTCTTACATCCAGAAAATATCTACAGGCTACAGCTTTTGTAAATTTTTGCTTTATGTTGTGTCATTTAAACGATATAAAATTGCATCAAAACTATGTGTCCATATTGCTTAAAGAATTTTATTGTATCCAGGAGATTTGGGCTTAAACGCAAGCCTGCCCATACCAGCTGAGATATTCAACAGAAAAACCTGAATCATACTAGAGAGACCGACATTTGCTCCGGAGTAAATGCAGCAAATGGCTTTACCAGTAATACCACATCCCCCGTACCAAAAAGTGGACCTATCCCCCTCCCGCACAAAATGGATTGTTCCTAAATCACCCCTGTGACAGTACCAAATCCCGCGTCACTCTGCCCTCTGTTCGGGTTAAGATATGGGTGGTAAAGACGGGCTATAGGCCCAGGCCCGAACAGTAGCAAAGCGGTACGCGCGGATGTCACCATTTTACCTGGTATCGCATTAATTCAAATGTCGTATAACGCGTCAAGAAAACGCGTTTGGCTTCCCGACGGGGCCGGATAACAATAAACTGTATCTGGAGCCGCTGTTATCTGGCGCCCTAACCGACGCGACGTTAAGCATAGGCTTGGTGCAATATGAGACTTATCATAGCAATATATAACGATTGAAAATTGCCTACACGGGGAGAGAATCCCTATCCTATCCATTAGTTCTTATTTCTGAGCTTAGCATAGTGCCTAAGCCATGACACTTCAGACACTGGACCCTTGCCTGTGGTGTGTTCTTCCGTGGTGTGTCCTAACATTCCCTTGTTGGCTGACGCAGTACAGGCGTTAGTGATACTGCGACGGGAAAAACACCGTACTGAAGTTAGGTGTCTTGACGAAACTAGGCACTCATTTCCACCTGAACAGAGTGAAATGAGTGCACAGTGTTTTTTTTTTTTCAAAGTCGACACCTCCGGTTAATCATTAATTGGAAACTCCGTACTTCCTTTGGTCAAACCTATAGCGCTGCACGGCACCTGCGCGTATTTTTTTTTAACTCCTCTTGTCCAAACCCTTTGCTCGCTCCATGGGTCACCTTTCCCATCCCTGCTCCGCGACCCCAGAGTGACGTGTGGGGGTCTTACCCCTCCCATAGTGCATAGCGACTTGGGATAGTACCAAATCCCGCGTCACTCTGCCCTCTGTTCGGGTTAAGATATGGGTGGTAAAGACGGGCTTCACCCCTTTTACCCTATCTTGCGCCCCGAAATGTCCTTCTTTGAACCCTTCCTTCCAATACTCACATTTCCTCTTCTAAATGAATCTTTTTCTTTCCTTCTTTTCATCTGTCTTCCTACCCCTCGTTCTCTCCCTCGCCTCTCGCTGATTAACCTTGTAAACAATCGCAGGTACAATGTACCCCACAGTGTAAACACATGCATGCGTTCTTCACAGGTAAGCTTCTCTCGTCCTCTCAATGTGATAACAACAATCCTTATCGATACAAATAATGGTATAAGACGACTATACGCATAAAAGGCCGCGGATGTCGAGTCTACTTGTATAGAATGTGTACTACGTTGTAAACGAGGTCTCACCACATGACATTCTTGCCAAATATGTACCAATTTCCTGGAACACTTAGTCTGCAGGTTTTTGGTGTCGTTAGACTTAACGTGGCGAAGACAAGGTGGGACGTCCCTTCACTTGCTATGCGTTGACAATCTGACATCCTTGCCTGCCAGATGGTTGTCCGCTTATTAGCGTCATGGCAGCCTTCAACTGTGCAGATGGTAAGTCAGCCTCTAACACGATACACAAGACTACATCCTTAGTCCATGGACAATTTTCTTGCCCGACTGTACAATGTGTCGGTTTCGTCAGTGACGCGTGGCGTTGTACATATGCACATGTGCCGCATGCAAATGAAAAGTCTCACACAGTTACTCTGTCCTGTGACCAAAAGTAATCTCTATGACTAGTCGCTCTGAAAACCGGACTCAACTAGGAGATCTCTTTCATTTATCAAAATTAGAGAAAACGGCGTCGGAATCTCTTCTTATTTTTTATTTTCGCAAATGGTGCAGTTTGCATGTGGGGCGGTCATGCCACGATTTTAGAGTGGAAGGCTCGACTTCAAAGTCGATTCCGCCTCAGATTCGCCTCCTGTTCAAAGATCCCTGACAAACTCTATGATGGAAAACCCAGCAAAATGTGTCGTCTCACCTTGTGTCCCCACATTGAACGAAAGTGCGAAGTTTTACACCTTTCAGCTCAGGGGAACTTCAATGTACCGCTTAAGTTCAACTGTAAATCCCACGTATTATCTCTGGTCTGCCGTCAGCTCCAGTGAACGTGGGAAAATTTTCATATAAAACTAAGGATCGTGAGACGTAATCAGGTTCACCCAGGGACATTGTTTCGTCAATGTAACATTACCGACGAACAGGAAAACCTCGTCACCAGATGACAGGCCCGATTTCACGTACACAACATGTCCTGCCAGTGTAGTACACTAGCCAGTAGCCAAGAGACTGGGAAACATGCGTCTGGCTCAAATACCATGTGTCGTTCACACGCACACGGGGGTTTGGCTTCTGTCTTGAGAACTTTGCCCCAGAGTTATTCTCCGTCCCCGCCCGGGTACTAGCGGGCTGCCTTCCTTCTGTAGCCATCTCCCCTCGCCATAACCATGTGACTAACATCCGACTAGTGAGAGCGGACTACTAGAGACAACAACAACATAAATCAACAAACTCTTGTCTTTGCACCTCAGCATGACATGGTGTCGGTAAAGTGTTTGTTGTCTTTGCGCTGTAGCCGCCTGGTAAACGCCATTGTGTCCCTGAATTGTTTTATGTCTTCGGTGTGAAACAATTGCAAATTGACCTCAGAAACCATTTTGGGTAAAACCGAAAAAACAAATGACGGGATTTTCGCTCTATTTCGCAGCTGAAAACTGAATCACTAATGTACCCCATTTGGCTTTTACCATGAAAGGTCCGCATTGATTACCCTCAACGATGTACTAACACATGAAAATAACGTCGGCATGGTCATGAGTTTTGTCTTCTCTGTTCACGTCAAATAAATCAGTAGCCCCTGTCATGACGCCTTGAGCGGGAAAAAAGACTTGTACACCCTCTGTCCTGAACTCACAAAAGGTGCCAGGATCGCACCTAAACGCCCATGGTTCATGTCATCCTTGTCATTTGTAGAGTACTATATAGTAAGCCACAAATTTTATAAATATCTTTAAAACCTTTGGACTGAATCCAGACTTCTTGGGTTGGAAGGAACGGGTAGAGACAGCCCTCCGGTCTCAGTTTGTATGGGCTGTTGCGGCTCTGTGCTCGATTCCTGGAGGGCATCATTCTGGACACTGCGCTCACTCCATGTTTTTGGCTAAGATGACGCGACCGTCGATTCGTTTATCGACTGAGACCAATCTTCCTGGTCGGTAAACTGGGCGAAAACAGCATATCATTTTTAGAACGAGTTTGCCCCTCCTCTGGTTTGCCATTGGGCCAACCCTCACTGCAGCTGCATTTCTACTCTCTAGCCTATTAAAGCCGGAATCAGCCACCCCATCGTGGGTGAAATCTTTAATCTCGTTCTCTCATCCTTTGCTATCCTCCGTGTTCTGTTATGAAGGATATGAATGCCATCTCTATCTCAGAAACCGGTTTTCTCTAGCATGTCCAAACCACCGCGCACTACTAGTACTTTCCAGGTCGGGTCAGTCATGACTGGACATGCTGTTCTTTTCTGTCTTTAGCCGCGCAAGGGTAAACCAGGATACCAGTAGACGCTATATATGGGAAAGTTTTATTCCATCAATCCGCTCATGGTCTGACGTAGATCCCCGTCGAACGAGTTTGGGTTTGTTTTGAAATAACCTTAATTATTAAGATTTATGACAATGCTTTAGACAGGGTAACTTCCTATAAGTATCTGGGTGTCATACTGGACTCAAATCTAAGTTTTAATAACCACTTGGATGTTGTATGTAGTAAGATGGCACAGCGCCTTGGTTTGTTAAGACGGCTGCGGCCTTATCTCTGCACAAATATTGCCAATATGTTGTACAAAACCTTTGCTTCACCGCTACTTGAATACTGTGATGTGGTCTGGGACAACTGTAGCACAACCAACAAGCAACGACTACAGATTCTACAGAACCGGGCTGCACGAATCATTCTCAGACGTGAATCGAGATCGAATGTGGGGGAACTGCACCAAGCACTTGGATGGAGTCAACTGCAGGAACGAAGAACACGCCACGTTTGTGTTATGGTGTACAAATGTCTCCATGGATTAGCCCCGAGCTATCTACTGAACACGTTCAATTATAATAATCAAATCCACAACTACCACACTAGACAATCACATCTCCTGCACAGACCCAACTACACTTCAAAAGCAGGACAACGTACCTTTGCGTACAGGGCAGCAGTAACATACAACTCACTAAAATGTAACGTAAAACAAGCACTCACACTTAAAGCCTTTAAAGACAGACTAAGATCTGAACCCATCTGACACCTGACTACCCAATGACGATCTCGACAACCTTGATTTAACTATGTTTATTGATTTGTTTGATTTGTTTATATGATTCATCATTCTTATTTTCAATTATTACTACTATTTTTGTATCATTTCCTAAGTTACTCGGAATTTGACCTCTGGCCCTCCAAAGACCATCGACCGACTGTTGTGCTTAATTTATGTTGATTTAATTTATGTTATATTATCTTTTCTGTATCCTTGTTTGCATTATATTCTTGTTTGTTTATTATGGGCTCTCTTGGAAATCAGCCCTGCGGGGCTGAAGAGACTAACCATACATTGTTAAGATAAATAAAATAAATAAACCTACTGTGTTCTAAGTTTTGCCAGTGAGATTCGGACTCTCCTGTCAGTGTGTTTCTAACATGTTCTGTCCAGTCCACGGACTACAGCCTACTTGTTCCCGTATCTATAACAGTCATTCCCAGTCCGTGGAAAATGACCCGCCCGACTAGGGCCTCCCATACGCACTGAGCGCCGACGCACACTATAACCGAGAATGGAGGGGCTCTTCTGGAGCGTTCATTGCAAAGAGCTCGTGGCCGGTTGAAACCCCAAGGTGGGCTGGCCTCACTAGTTGTTGTTCATGACCTCTGAATTTCCTTTCCGTCCGATAACCAGTCGTATGGGTCGCACTCACTAGAGAATACTTACTAGTATAACAGATAAAAGTCTAGCATACAGTCAAGGCACTCACCTCACTCTGATCCGCACTCAGAAGTCGGTACGAAATCAGCGAGAGGCAAGAGAGAGAAGTTAGGGGTTACAGGAAGACAGAATTTTGACAAAATTCATAATGTTAGTGTCTGTTACAAATGCCTTGCACATCTGGTTCACTGTCGGTATGCTGACCATACCGTCGCTGTCTTTAACTCTTCCGTGCTAAATCTCTCCCATTGTCTCCACAGATCGGTCTCCCCAGATGGCTTTTAGAAATTCAAAATAGGTTATCATCTCCGGTCGAGTCGGAACCCTTCTGTTGTCTCAATGACAAAGAAATTCATTTTGCATACAGATTGGTCACCTCTATGTGAAATGTGGAAACAACCCCGGTGTGGGCCCATGTTTCCTGCGATAAAATGAATATTCCCTTCACACTTGCATGTCAGCCGATACAAACGCCACGATATCTCCAACTTGAAGAGAAATCCCAAGTTTCAGCATGGAGGTAGTTCTACCTCCATGGTTTCAGTAAACAACTTCACTGACAAAATGTCGGCTCGCGGTAACTTCATCGCCCGGCTCGAGCTAAACTCAAAAATTTTAACAACCTCAAACACAAAATCGTCGACTCGCGGGAACCCAAAGCCGTCCGGCCTGAGCCCAGGTTGAAAATTTCAACAACTTCAAGTAAAATGTCGTCTCGCGGGAACCCAAAAAACGCCCGGCCCGAGCAAAGTTCAAATTCAAACACGGCCCGAGCTTAGTTCAAACACAAATTTCTGCTCGCGGGAACTCAAAAACCTCCGGCTCGAGCTTAGTTCAAACACAAATTTCTGCTCGCGGGAAAAACCTCCGGCCCGAGCTTAGTTCAAATACAAATTTCTGCTCGCGGGAAAAACCTCCGGCCCGAGCTTAGTTCAAATACAAATTTCTGCTCGCGGGAAAAACCTCCGGCCCGAGCTTAGTTCAAACACAAATTTCTGCTCACGGGAAAAACCTCCGGCCCGAGCTTAGTTCAAATACAAATTTCTGCTCGCGGGAAAAACCTCCGGCCCGAGCTTAGTTCAAACACAAATTTCGGCTCGCGGGAACTCAAAAACACCCGGCCCGAGCTTAGTTCAAACACAAATTTCGGCTCGCGGGAACTCAAAAACACCTGGCCCGAGCTTAGTTCAAACACAAATTTCGGCTCGCGGGAACTCAAAAACACCCGGCCCGAGCTTAGTTCAAACACAAATTTCGGCTCGCGAGTACTCAAAAACACCCGGCCCGAGCTTAGTTGAAACATAAAATTCGGCTCGCGGGAAACCAAAAACGCCCGGCCCGAGCAAAGTTAAAATTTCAATAAATTCAAACAAAAATGGATGCACTGGAGTAGATACAGTACCTCGCAAAACACAAAAACTTCGTCAACGTCGTCGTCAGGCCTGGAAGGCTGGACGCGGCGTGCGTCCCCGGCCTCGATGCACAGGCCGAAATGAGCGTCCTGATCCCGGTGGCAACGAAAACTGAAAACCGGGATCCTTCGCTAATCGTAACGACGTTCCTTCGGTGGTAAATGTGTGTAACATTTCTGCTACTATCACATCAAGTTGGGGTGGCATCCGCGCGTAGAAAAACAGGAGCCTCCGAAAGGTGTGACCGTCCGGTTCCAATCGCGACCCCAGAGTGACGTGTGGGGGTCTTACCCCTCCCATAGTGCATAGCGACTTGGGATAGTGTGATTGTTCCTAAATCACCAGTGTGAAGTGTTCCAATAGTCTATTCCCCCATGCAGCAATGGAATCTTCCAACGCCTTCTGCTGTTGGAACATGTAGATCCTGGTGTTCTATTTAGAACTGTCAGTTGGGGATTTGGGTTTTGAAGCTACAATCGCTATTTATACTCAAAGTAAGGTAAATAGCCTAAGCATTTGGCCTAAGCATTTGGTGCCAAATTACCCTTAGGTTGAATTTTAGGTCATTTGGTTTTCGTGTTAGCGAAGATGAGCCAAAAATGTACATTTTTGGTCAAAAATAGGGAAAAAAGTCCAATTTTACATAATTTTTAAGTGACACACAAAAGCGTGAATAATGTTCTTTGGGCTTGTATCCAAGGATCTCCCGTACCAAATTTCAGGTCATTTGGTTTTCATATAAGGGCACAGGAGCTAAAAATGTACATTTTTTGTCCGAAAATGGCCAAAAAGCCCTATTTTATACAATTTTAAAATGGTGTATGTCAAAGGCACAGATGACATTCTTTGGACATGTGTCCAAAGTATCCCCATACCGAATTTCAGGTCATTCAACTTTAACATTTGTCTGAAAATAGCCAATAAGTCCTATTTACACAATTTTAAAGTGGTGTATGTCAAAAGCTTGAATTACTTTCTGTAGACATATGTAGTGAGTGAGTGATATGTCCAAGGTATCCCCATACCAAATTTCAGGTCATGTGGTTTTAGTACCAGGGCTCCAGGTCCCAAAATGTATATTTTTGCCTCAAAATGGCCAAAAAAAAACAAAAACAAATTTTAAAGACCTGTTTAAACAAGAGTTCCACGATCTCATACCTTCGCCAAATGATGTTTACCCTTGCGGTTGACGAATTGTACAATTTTAATCATTGATTTTGTAAATAAGAGCCTCATTTGTATGGTTTATATCAGTTGATCATATTCTCCACCCAATAACAGCCTTATCTTAACAAAAAGGCTATTATAGCACTTCCTCATAAATTATGCAAATGAGGTCATGATTTGAATAAATCATGTTTATCGATGTCCACCTTCACTTAACTTCCAAATGTGCCAAGTATGAAATTCCCAGTAGTTACAACTACATGTATGAAATTATAAAAAATTTGCCATTGATTATGCAAATTAAGTTCCTCATGTACATAATCTATATCCTCAGATATTTTTACTTGTTCTCAAGTAGATGTCACAAGTGTTTCATAGTTCTATTATCAAACAAAGCAGATTTATAGAATGTCCTCATTAATTATGCAAATTAGCTCCTGATTTGCATAATTGTCATCTGAATAAACTGAACTGAACTGAACTGATTATGTCAAACATAACTTCAACTATCTACATACCAAAAATCACGACAATCTGTCAACCGGTTGTTGAGTTATCCTCCTTCGAAATGTTTTCAACAAATACTTCTGCAGTTCCAGAACAAGCTGCTAGGGGACACAAACTCATGTCACTTCTTCCCTACCCCAAGAGCTATCTGCCATCTGAAATCCTTGACCCTAGCATGTCCAGATCATGAGATATCAAAACCGGAAATTCTGCTGCAGTACCTAGGAAAGCCACCAGGGGCCCAAAATCTAATCATGAAGACCTACCCACCTACCAAGTTTCATTCCAATCCAACAACTGCTTCTAGAGTTATCTTGCTAAACCACACACACACACACACACACAGACAAATGCTACTGAAAACATAACCTTCTTGGCGAAGGTAAAAATGGCAAAACATCTGGGGCTATTTGCCCACTGTACCTCCATGCCAAATTTCAAGTCATTTGGTTGAAAAATGGTAGAGTTGAATCTACATGATTGTATTTCAAGAAATGGCAGGAGAAGGAGAAGAAAGAAGGCTGACATTTGCCCGGGAGCAAATGCAGCAGATAGCTTTTCCACATCCCCGTACCAAAAATGGTCCTATTCCCCTCCCACACAAATGGACTGTTCCTATATCAACCCTGTCCAAAAACCCATATAACGAGGAAAATAAGTTCATGCGTAATTTCAAGCGTAACATATCTTCTCATATCTTCTGGGGATGAATTATTTTTCCGTCGAGCCGCCGATACTAGCGTAGCATGCCACGACTATGCAGTTGGGATTTTTATTTTGTAATCAGCATGCTTTCACAATGAAAACTGAGACAGTCGGACTTGTTGTGCATGCAAATTGTAAAAAAATTGTGAAATGCCAATGGGTTGTCTGATTTTCTACCAATGACAGCGTTTTTTTTGTGGCGTCATGGCGAGAATGACAATTAATTGACAATTCATGAGACTGTGCAGACAATGGAATGAATAGCAGCCTGATCCATGCAATTAGCGGCTCAATCAATGTCGCTCGGCCGAACAAAATTGGAATGACAAGCACATTTATCGGGGTAATATTGGAATGAAATTCCTAATTTTGAAAAGCGCTCTGAGATAAGGACAGGGTGGCGCAGCGCCATTGCTCCATCCTTTAGGGAGATCCCTGCAAAGCATGCCAAAATTTTACAACACCTAACAGTAACACAACCTAGAATGCTAAATGTACATGTAACACAAGAAATTTAACACCAACAATACAAAACAAACAACATACAAAAAAATGCAATAAAATGCCCAGAGATATTAGCCTGGTTACCAAACCTATTACAGCTCCAGAGTCCTACATCCTCTCCAAATCGGAGAGGATGTAGGACTCGGGAGCTATAATAGGTTTGGTAACCACTACTAACCAGGCTACAGAGGTATAAAATCTGAGATGCTCCTTGTTTTGATTTAAACTCATTCATAATTCATATTGTGCAAATTTATCAACCTTGATCTCACCTTGATTGCCCCCACACTCATCTCAGGACAGTCCCCTCCTCCCTGTACATACAGTTCTCTAAGCTGCTGCTGAAACTCCTCTGGATCTGTCGTGATGATCACAGGGCCAATATCTGCAACAAAAATATTTATAATCTATATATGCCTTATGTGCTATATCATTCTGTGCTCAGAGTCTCTAATATAGCCTGGATGCCATCCATTTTAGAACAGGGCTTCTTGCACTCCTAGCTGACCGTAGTCTAAATCTGCTACTCCAATCCAATACTGATCATAGTTTCCAAATCGGATGATACTTAAGTTAGCACCCCGAGGTGACTCACTTCGACAAGGTAAAAATTATATAGTAGGGTGCACTAGAGAATCACGGCCAACTAATATGTTGAAATACATATTCTACAAGTATATTCTACAAAATAACTGAAAACAAAAAAAAGTTATTGTTTTTTAACATAATGACGACCACTTTGATTTGGCCCTCTAACGGAACTGCAGCCGGCTCACCCTGGTTGCGTAATGCTGCGCATTTATACACGAACAGGAAAATCTTCACAATCCAACTCATACCGTGTACAAGCCGATACCTTTCCTTACCACACAGCGCAGTTCAGTCATGGCTACCTCTCACATAAGTCGCTCTAGCCAGGATGCAAGAGGTTTGTCTGCACTACTTTCTATACCCGCGTCATAGACCCCTGTGTTCTGCAGCCTTAAAAAACTTCTAATGACCCATAACTTCCACAATATAACTTTGCTATAGTTTAATATCAGTTCACCTTCATTCATTTTATACCTACATTGTATAATATATTCATTTTTAGGGTACAGAGAAGGATGTGCTAATGCAACACATCTAGAATTACAAACTTGAGGGACTCCTTCACAACACATTTAAAAAGCTTTGATTACCATGCATGCATTCAATTTCAATGAAAGTTTCCAACCCTTTTCAACTGGTCTAATCGCACTGTGGGAGGAAATTCCAACAAGACATGGAATATATCAATGGTTTATTTGCGTTAAAAACACAACAACACTGTCTCAAAAATGGCAGTCAGAGGCTGAATTGACATTGCTTTTGGGCAAAACACTATAAAACGCCATATTAAACAATTTAAAATAGTAATAAACCATTAAATTAAATGTATATAAAATATTGTCAGTAAATGTTTACAAGTGCAAATAACATTTCAGATAACAATACCGACGGACAATGGTAACAGTAAACACTAAAATAAGTCTTAGGTCCCAAAAATGTGACAGTGTTACATGTTAAGCAGGCGGATCATAAAGGGAAGGGCACTATTCTGATAACGATCAGTTCTGCTGAGAGGAGTGTTCAGTTTATAACGTGATCTGGTGTGACGACCACTTATTGCACTTCTAACAGGTGGCAGAAAATGCCGGAACTGTTCAGACTGTCTAATATCAGACCCCGTTTACATTTTATTAAAAACTGAACCGGTTTCAATCCCCAAATCATTTCAGAATTTATCTACATGGATTGAATTGAAGGAGTCACTTTGAATTTTGTATGACTACAATGTACCTCAAAAAAGAAGGGCCCCCTAATATCAAGTCATACTGAACTTGCTTTCAAAGTGTAATATGCTTCCTCCAAGTTCCCAGAAGGACAGGGGGGCACTTTTTTTTCATTTTCACTTTTTTACGACATTAACCTTTATGACTACTAGTATTCAGTTGATCATCTTCTATACCCAATGGCAGTCTTAATTAAGTTAATAGTTAATAGAATAAGAAAGCCTTGCTAGCATTTCACAGAAATTAGGTAAGTAGCTTTCACAAAAGCATGATGTACATGTATTATAAGGATGCACATGAAATCCACTGATTTGTCCTGTCCTAGACTCAAAAGAATATACTTTACTTTAGGCCACAGCAAGTAAATTTTAAGGATGACATCCTCCAGACTCCAAATCTAATGCAATAGTGCGAAAAAACAAGGCGGACCGAAAAACAAGGTTTCTACATTTTCAAATTTTGACATCATAAGCCTTGTTAAACAAAAAATGATACCTAACGTAATGTTATATTGTGATAAGTTTTCTGCCAACTATCACAACATCCTAATATGTCACTGAAAAATAAAAGTTGTCAAAGCAAAAGACAAAACAATAGATCTGTTTCAGCCTGGGCTTATGCTCTGATGATCAGAGTATAAGCCCAGGCCAAAAAACATATCATCAACCCCTTCCAACGAAGGCAAGTTTTTTCACCTTCGCCAAGAAGGTTATGTTTTCATTGTTATGTTGTGTGTGTCTGTAAACACGATAACTTGAGAAGGCTTAAATAGATTGACTTGATATTTGGCAGGTGGGTAGGTCTTGATGAGACCTCTAAATGATTAGATTTTGGGCCCCCTATCCGATAATCGTCTTCCTATGGTACTGCAGCTGAACTTCCGGTTTTGATATTTCATGACCTAGACATGCTACAAAATGTACATGTGCGTAGCTAGGGTCACGAAATTTGGATGATAGGTAGGTCTTGTACTGGGAAAGAAGTGACATAAGTTTGGGCACCTTAGCGGCTTGTTCTGGAACTGCAGGGCCATTTGTTTAATAATATTCAAAAGAGGATAACTCAAGAACCAGTTGACGGATCATCATAATTTTAGGTATGTACGTAGCTTAAGTGATGCTTGACATAATTATGTGACAATTATGCAAATTTGGAAATAATTTACATAATTTATGAGGAAATTCTATCAATCAGTGTTTTTATTACATGATAGAACTATTCAAGCTTGTGGCATATGTAATTGAGAACAAGAGAAACATAGATATTGATGAATCAGATGTAAATTAAAAGTTAATGTGAATTAAAATACTTAAAAAGAAAAAGTTGTAATTCAGCAGTGGTAACTGCCTGGAATTTCATACTTACAGTATTCGAAAGTTAAGCGAAGGTGAACATCAGTTAACATACTTGTTCAAATAAGAACTTCATTTGCATAATTTATGAGGAAATGCTAGAAATGGTAAGACTGTCTTTTGGTAGAGAATATGATCAACTGATATTATTCATGAAAATGAGGATCCTATTTGCATAATCAAGGGAAATAATCTATATATTTGTCTGTCATAAAAATCAACATCATTTGGCGAAGGTATGAGATCGTGGAACTCTAGTTTTTAATGAATTGATAATCATACAAACTTGGAACAAGGAGCATATTTCCCTACATTAAAGCTCTTTGGTTGGAACAAAACCTTGCCAAAGAATTGGACCTTTACAGATGTACTGTAACGATTTGGGTCACAGTACTACGGTATGTAATTTGAGTTGAGAAAGCCATGTAACTTTATACAATTACAAATATAAGATTATGCCACATGTAAATCGTCACATAATCATCCATTATCAATAAGGCAAAATCTAAAAAGAAAGAAAGAATCTACGCGTTCTGTGTATGTGTGCGATTGCGGGATGTCTCACGGAACATAATTCAATGCGGTAACGTTACATTATGTACCTCACACGCTCCGAAGATAATTTGCGGGACGAGGGAAGTAATTAGGACGTTCGCACTAACCTGGGTCGTGGAATGGCACCAGTGCATAATTGTATAGTGGTTTTTCTTTCCGAGACAAAGTTGTCTCCAGAATTTTGGCAGCTCCGTCTATAACTTGCACCAGGTCATCGTACATAGATCCTGTAATGTCAAACACGAAGGCCAAGGTGGAGGCTCCTTGTGGGACGTCTTTAGGTGTCAAGGTCTCGTCGCTGCCTTGTGCTAAAACACAGGCCCACACCATGCACAGACATAGTAAAGTCTCTCGGGAAAAAGTCTTCTGGACACTGAGGACCATTGTCCACGACATCATATTCCTGAGAAATACACTTATATTTTCAACGTTTCATGTCTTTCCACCATAGACAGGAGCCCGGACACTCCTCAATCTCTGTATAGTCAAAACAATGCAGAAATCAGATGACTCGCAGCACGCACTGACTGGTACCTCACACCGGGCGGGGAGACAGAACCAGACACTTCATGTACAGAACCTCACGGGGGCGCTGTTGTACATTGTGTCACGTGGGATGTTTGCAATCAGAAGCTCATTGACAAAGCAGTCTTTTGACTCCATGGAAATATAGAAACTTTCTTTTTTCTTGCGGAAAGCCAATATGATTAAGTTATGCGTCGCCCTCATGTAACATTATACAGACGGCCGTGCGTGCTGCTACTTTGTGCTGAAGAAGCTTTTTGTACAAAGCTCATACGAAATCTAAAGGTAAACAAGGAAAATCGTAGATTTTGTACCTCCGGGTATTGTAATGTATGTTGCAGAATGTTGGGTGCATGTTGGGACTGTTCTTTAAATTAGTGAATGGTGTCTGGGTGTGTGTGTGTTCACGCGAATACCACGTGACACAACTATGCAAGAGGAAGCTACGCAACTTGACACCTGTGCGAACAAGAACAATATGATTATGAACGGGGATAAGTCCTATGAGTTGAGACTGTGCTTTTAAAAAAATCCACCTGTTCCACCTCCCCTCACACTTGGAGGCAAAGAAGTCCCGGTTGTTGAATGTGCCACGTATCTGGGCTTCAAACGTCACCGCAGCCTTGGGTGGGACAGCCAAATCTTACACATGTAACAGCCTGATCCGTTAGTTAGTGATTTATGGTTCCCGTGACGTAGTGACTTATGACGTAGTGCTTAGTATCCATATTTAGATCTCCAGCTTCTTAGTTCATTTACATACTCATTAGATTAGCCAATGACTGGTGAGAGCAGTCAGCGTCAGTATTAGATATTAGCTAGCCCGCTTCCGTTTGAAATCAGTTCGAGACCGGGACCTCAGGTTAGACACACACACTTGTAGTTCATATCCTTTGTAGATTTCCACTCCTGTAACTCTAAGACTAGACCATTGTAACTAGACCATTGACT